GTATTTTGCAGGCAATAGTTGTATTTGTGATAAGCATACATGCCTATGCTTATGATAAAAGTGAAATGGAGGAGGTTTCAATGGTTGCACTTTCCGGATGTATATGGTTGCAGGCTTTCGTAGTAACAATGGAAACCAAGTAAGCTTTAATATTAGTAGTTATTAATGCAATTGTTACTTCTTCGACTTTGAGTTCTATACTGTTAGTAATGAATTAAAAGAACTACATGGTGTATAATGTTTCCATTGTCAATGAAAGTTTTGTTTTTTGTGGTGCTAGGGGGGGCGAGGGGATATTTTTTTTTTTTGCTTGGTTGCAAATGTTATTTGGTTGGCATGGGAACTGGGGAAACAGTTATTTTAGTTTGAAAGCATTGCTTCATCCTGCTGAGGAAGTTTCTCTTGTTTGATTACCTGATTCATTTTTTATGCCTACAGTTCCTTTACTATACTGCAACATATGGCTATATGGGGTAATTTGGCTGCCTTTTATGTCATCAACTGGATCTTCAGTGCTCTTCCTTCATCTGGGATGTATACAATTATGTTCCGGTTGTGTCGACAACCGTCATATTGGATAGCACTTTTTGTAAGTAGTTTCTTACCCCTTTTGCGCCTGATGAAGTTCTTCATCTCATTTTCCTCCCTCACGTACCTTTCTACTTTCATCAGGGATGCATTCACGGTTTGTTTTTAATTCTTTAAAATTGGAAACAACATTAAAATAAATAGATGTTGTAATTTCCAGTAGAACTGAAATAAAAACAAAACAAGCACACCTCTGATATTTCCTTGTTCTCCTTTCCTGCGTTAGATCACGAGATTTCACATTCTACAGGAATCTTGTCACAATTTTCTACATAATTCATGTGCATTGAATTATTTTTTCCTGATAAATTTCAAATCTGTTTCTTTTTGCAAACAAATACGTTGATTATGCTTTGATGGAAACTATAATTCCATACAGCTCATGGTTGCGGCCGGGATGGGTCCAATTCTAGCCATCAAGTACTTCCGATATACATATAGACCGAGCAAAATCAATACACTTCAGCAAGCTGAACGTCTGGGTGGGCCAATTTTGTCTCTCGGCACCATTGAGCCTCAGCAGAGATCTATAGAGAAAGATGTTTCTACCTTGTCAATAACTCAACCCAAAAACAGAAATCCCGTGTATGAACCTCTGTTATCAGATTCTCCAAATGCCACCAGAAGATCTTTTGGAACAGGAGCACCATTTGATTTTTTCCACTCACAATCAAGATTAACGCATTCTACCAGCTACACAAGAAATTGCAAGGATAACTGAGATTAAGGAGCAACTGGGAAGAGCTCCAGATGCCGCATCTTAGTTGTTTACCCCTTTTGATTGAAACTAACGAAGTACATTTAGTTCCTTGTATACTAATGTTATTTTTTGTAAATTGGGCTGCACAGCCTACACTCAAGTGCCATTAGATAACTGTTGATGTAAAGCCAAAAGGAAATGAATTTTCATAATTCTATATATCTGATTGGCTTGATATTATTGTTGTTATTACATTTTGTTTTCCAACTTCCGGTTGGAGACGCAATTGATTTTTTTCCTTTGCAATACCTTCACCTTACAAAGTTTTCCAGTTAGGGTTATATTCTATTTATTGAAGAGTAATGTAACTTATGGCCGGTCAAGAAACTGGGCATATCAAGGAATGCCAAATTCGTTGTCGGTTTTCTTCTGTAGAAGCATCTGGAACATGATAATTCGTGCAGAGACGTCAACATACTAATATGCAGATGGCAGATGCATACAAATTTGGCGACCATTTTAATGCTGCTCAAAGCGAGAACTTAATCCGCTAAGTCCATGTTCCCCACCAACCGTCGTCAGAACTCTGCTACAAATTGCATGGCAAGGTAGCGTTGATTATAATATATAGATTAAATACTGGAATTAATATTATTCTTGACTTTGTTGAGCATCAGTTAATTTAATCTTTAGTATTAGAGATTCAATCAATTGAATAATTGTCAAATTCAGAGATTAAATTGACGAGTGTTAATTTTGGGAAGTAAAATTGTCTGACAATTATGGAAGTTAGGGGTTAATTTTTTTATATTAAAAAAATAATTTGGCTGATATATGTAGTTTCAAGTATTAATTTGATTTGATGTATTATTCAAATAAACCAAACTACATGTCATGACGAGAAGCCGAGAACGGAGAATCTGTCAGTGACAACGTAGGCATTTAGCAGCAGTAATAGATTCGCATAAAATTGGCCTACCACCTAAAACGCTCCCATTCACAAGGTGCCAACAGTTCTATCTATTCATTCACGGGTGAAGAAAATCACAAGCATAATAAGAGAGACTAATTATCCCGTAAATGCTCGTTTAATTTCTTTTATTAACAAAAACCAAACTGACAACGAAGGCAGAGGCAGGTCGTGGACTTCAAAGCTTATAATGGGTCGGTCGTTTTAGCATAGGTTGCTTCCTATACCATATTATTTGATGGAGTCTATGCAATCACTACCCATCCCAAGCTCACAAACTAGCTCGTAAGAGTAATTGCAAACACAACACTATGGGTCATTCCCTTACCACCTTAGCTGTCAAGCTGTCTTTCGGATAATCTAGCTGTCTTTCGGATAAGATTGTATGATTGCATTAATGTCCAAGTTTTGCTCTATGAATTAATGTCCCTCTTTGGTTGAATAGCGAGTTAACGATACATATACGTGTATTTTTTTTAATGGACATAGATAGTTTAATATTTCAAAATGTAACTCTCCCTAATCTAACATCATAGTTTTCCCTAATGCATTTTGGACATAAAATTTATAGTTTTATGAAATTGAAATTCATTAGTGGCGTTATAGACCTCAGTTACTGGCTTCAGTCGACTCATCTCATCTCTGTTTTACCAATAAGGCTCGGCAGAAAATTTTGTTAAAAAAAGTGATACCACGTGTATATTAAAATAAATAAAATCTCATCTGCATTTTAGGGGTCTCACTTCAGTAGTCCTAGGCTAATACTCTTAACTTTTTTGTCTGCATCTTTATCCTTATTATGAAGTTAACTCATCTATTAAAGTGTTTTTAAAGCATCTCTACCATTTTTGCAACCACAGGACCACCGTGAGTGATCTATGTAGAATTTTCTGGCGTCAACAAGTAACCCCAGACCAACCCCGGTCCCCCTCAAATATAGAGGCATGAATAGTAATATATTTGTCTGTTTATTTCTTTTACAATTTATATTTGAATTAAGCTTGAAATGACCTTTACTTAATGTGAAGCTTGAATTGGTTTGTCACTGTTAATTAATTCATCTTGATTTACAGCATTTTTTTTTATACCTCTTTGAAGATCAAGTCTTTTGGTGCAAAAATTGCATTAAACAATAAATTAAACGAAATGCTCTAAGTCATTAAGAAAAATGGTGTTGGATTTGAATAATTTTAAAAGCAAAATTTAGATCCTCCAGGCTAATGAGGGAACAAATGCATCTTAAAATAGCTCCAGATGTATCGTACGCAAGGTCGCCACAGCTGCATGACCACGTCAAATCATCAAATAATCTTCAACACGTGTTATTCATCAAATGAGATAAATAATGTAATAGAGAGATAACTAAAAGGTAAACAGTGAAAAATGTTATAAAAAAAATTATAGTAAAAATGTAATAGGTTAATAACTTCCTTTTCGGTGAAAAATATGATTGGACAACGTAGATATGGCCTATACTGTTTGATGTTTCAAATTGTTTTCACCATGAATATATTATATACAGCATATAAGTATCTCTGTTCTAATGTTATTGGAGTTTTTTTTACTGTTTTTATCTAAATACTACTTTAAATATATAAATATACAACAATGTCGAGTTAAACTCGTCAAATTACTTATCTGATCAATGAGTTGTAATTGCAACAAACATGAAAGTTTGTGGTTTAACTATTACAATTGATGGAATCAAATGACTTTTTATTATTCGAGTCTTAAAGTCGTCAGGGTCACAGTTCTTGTTTGTAAAAATGCAGAATAAAAACAGGAAGAAGAAAAATAGACGTCTATTATTTAGATTGAACATTAAAAACTGCTAACATTCTTAAACATTAAAATAAGACAAATTTTTTTTAATCCAAAGCATATTTTTTAAATACATATATAAAAAGAAGTACAGAAATAATAGTATAAAATAACACACACACATATATCGACCGATTAAGCTTTCCACTGACACAGAACAAAAAAAATTCATCTTCAAGGTACAGCCAATGCAATAGAAGTACAGTTTTACTATTACATTTTAATTCGATTTAAATCGGTCGAGATGAATTTGTTTGCTAACTTAACATTTTGGTGATCCATTAACTTGATTATAAACAACGTAATTAACCTCTCATATACTATTATGGAATAGTTTGCAGTTTAATAAACATACCATCTTGGTAGGAAATAGAGCAATAAAGTAGCAAAACGTGCTAGATTAAACATTGTAGTTTTGTTTCTATTTTTTCCCTTGTTAGATAAATGACAAGGACCGTCAAAGAATTTTACTAGTATCTTTAATAAATAAAGGATGTCACTGTTTCATCATTTACACCTGTAAAGATACTTTACTTTGCTTTCGGGGGTCTCGAATTTAATTTTCAACTACACCAATTAACAATTTGCGTGCTCACCTATGCTTTCACCAATTTTACAATTTTTTCCACTTTCACTCTGAAACGAAATGCTCAAAAAATATAAAATTTCCGAGATTAATTATCTTTTTCCATAACCAATAAAAGAAATTCTACTACCATTGTTCCAATGTGACGTGTTGCCACGACAAAGATTGCATGCTTGCCATGTCTTGGAATCCGCTTTCTGTACTTGTAAAGGCCAACACAGCACCAAAATATCATGATTTCCCATCCCAAAGATTTAGCTTCTTCAGGGTAGTTTCACCACGTAATAGTTACTTACCATCACCACTAATAACGAAAATAAAAAATAAAAACACCATGAGTCAAGATATTCCCACATACATTAAAAACAAGACAAAGTCCACATTACATAAATAAATTGTCACAAACTTAACAACAAATTCAGAAAGCAATAATGAACTGAAACAATAATTAACAATAGCAATAGACCACGCCAGAGACGTTTTTATGTTTCTCCGCGTATTTACACTTGTGAATCATTCCTTCATTCACTATAGTCACTACCATTTTCATTCTTCACCATTATTTGATTTTCTTCCCCATCGATCTTCACCCTCTACATCAGCAACTCATTCACCCACGCGAGATCTGGGCCATTCACGTCACCACCGACTACCTTGTTCTCGTTGCCCATGATTTTGTTGCAACATAACTTCCCCTTTGCCGGTGGTGAAAAAATAAACTGCTGATCATCGCAGCCAAAAGAAGAAACAATGAACGGTGGTTGTTGTTGTTGTTGTTTTTGCTGCTGCTGTTCCTCATAGTTGAAAGAAACATCAAGCCAAGGCAAGTTCGGTGCTTTAGCACCGGAAACAGGTGAACCCTCGTTGAAACTCAAACCCTCCAAAGAATTCACCAACTCAGCGAACATGTCCTTGTAACTCACCACCCCATGATGGTGGTTCACATTCACAGCACCGTAACGGGAAATCGGAGAAAGAGAAACCCCGCTTAAGGGTTTCAACGGAGATTGAGGCGGCGAGGTGGACGAGGAAGGTGACAGCGGCGGCGAGAAATGAGACACGCTGAAAAGTGTGGAAGTAGGTGAAGCGGTGGAGGAAGAACCACCGCCACCACCACCACCACCACCATGACAAAACAAACAACAGTTGTTGCTTGGTCTCGAACCATGGTTCAAGAGCTTGTTAACGTTCTTCTTGCATGTCATGTCATTAGAAGAATTCACAGGCAAAATCCTGAGCTGGCGAGGAGTGTGTGCGAAGAAACAGACCTTCCTCTTGCAATTCTTCCCATCCTTGCATGCCTCTGTCCTGTACCTGGCAGGGTGCAGCCAGCATTCGAATACGCCATGGGCGTATTCGCATGCATCGCCACGGCTGCACCCGCCACGGCGATACTCAGGACAGACCGTGCCTGAGTAGTGGTACCGCCGCGGGTCACGGCGGCGTGCCTTTTCGCCCGGATGGGCGAAAGGGCAGTCGGTCCAGTCGTGACTCCGGCTGCGGGTGCAGCGGCGGACCTTGAACTCGAACATCCGAAAGTGGTCGGATGAGTAAGGATCATCCTCGTCGGAGTCGTCAAGGGTGTTGGAAGGGAGGAACTTCTGCAGCATGGTCTCGTCGGAGTAGACGTCAGCAGCGCTGCATGCAGCGGCGGCGCGGCGAGTGAGGAGCTTCCTTGGAGGGATGTCAATCTCTCTGAGGGATTTCTTGGGAGAGAGGAGTTGGTGAGAAGGGTGAAACTTGTGCTGTTCTGCGCAGACACTGCTCATTTTGGCCACCTTTTGTGTTTCTTTGTGAGACTATGAAAGAGAAAGGGAATAATAAGTGTGTGAGTGTGTTAATGAGAGGGAAACAAAGGGTGAGTTATATAGTGTGGTTGGGGAGAGAGAAAGAGAGAAAGGGTGAGAAGGATGGGGTGTGGGGACAGTGAAGGAGGTGCGTGGCTGCGTAGCATTTGGGATCAGCATGCAAAAGAGGGTATGTGGCAGTTTGATAATTCATTGGGGGCAGGAATTTTGGCTATGTGTAATTCTCTTACAAGCTCTCTTTTTGAAATATCTGTGAGGGGTTTTGGATCACATTTTAGCATCAAAGCTAACATGAAAATTCTAGATCACGTTAGGGTGAGCCCGAGAGGGCTCCATGTAAGAGACTTTCTTCGACTTGACTTGAATTGAATTCCATTGTTGGTTCATTGCATTTGTTTCCCTTTATTCTCCTTTGACTCAAAAGAAGTGTACATTAAATTTTTGACCGACTGTTCCTTGCTATAACCAAAGGGGATTTGTCTAGTTGTGTATATGCGTTTCTAATGAAACTACTATAACGCCTAATAAAGTCTGATTATGAGTTTGACATAATAACAAAAGAGATCTTAGGAAAAATCATGTTCTGTTTATATAAAATAATGGTTCAACTACTGAAGAAGTGAAGTGGTTGAACCTTAAAAGAGATGATAACATACAAAAAAGTTAAGTAACCCTGAATTACTGGTTAGGCTGTGTAATTAATTGCAGCCATTGAGAATTATGTTTAAATAAATTAGTTCCATTTATTCACAGTATTATGTCGTCAACTAAAGCATGAATAATGATGGACTAACCTATTAGTTTCATTTTTTCACATCGACACAAAGGCTTATCTCTTCATTTCAGACCAATGACCAAATATCTTAGTGTATTACTATTAGTAGTATTATACAATACAATTGAGAAATTAATTGGATACACATATATTCCTCAATAAAGAATTGGATGGATCTAGAACTCTGTGGACAAGGAAGGAAATACAATTAAAGATAATTGAGGTATTGGCCCTTATAAAACTGAGTTCATACATGTCATTATTGACCTGTTAAGGTAAAGTCATTAAAATAATACTTCTATTATTGTATCAGTTTCAAGCAAGTCCATTGATTTGGATGAACTCAAATAACGTACGTCAGGTCCATAAAAACAAGTTAGTCCCTGGTCATCTGGCAGTTAAAATTGGAGGAAAACAGGAACCGCACCAAACTTTAAGGCCTATCTCCGGTTAAAAATTTATGTGCACTTTCTTTCCCAAGAAAGAATAATCAATCCACATAATGGAGGAAACCATAACTGACACTTCCACAATTAACAGGCTGAAATTTAGGTAAATGGCATGCAAAGGAATAACACAGAGAGAGAAGTTTTTGATTTCTCAACCTAAAACTCAACTCACCTCAAAAGGGCTAAATTCATGACTTAATAATTCTCCGTTAATTTGGGGTGGTTTCTGTTAAAGGGACTAAGTTTAAGCAGTTTGATTCATTTGTAGGATTATTTTATTAGTATGATTATCTTTTTGACAAAGGATTGTGATTATTTTCTACAACTATAGAATTTAACAGATATTGTTTAACTATGTGCTCATCAGGTTGAGGAAGCCATTAAAAAAACAGAATTTAAATTCGTAAGTGGAAGGATGTGAGTCACAATGTACCTTAAAATTGATTAAAAAATATTGTTGTTCCTTTCACTCATACTATCCACTAATTGTTTTGATAAGAATCCTCAGTACTAGGTATTGGTCTCTTACTTTGTGCCATAATTTGCGGAAAGCAAATTTCTGTGCTGATTGGCTTATTAAATATGAAATCTCACATAATGATACCTTCACAGAATAAAATGAGTATTCTTTTGGATTAGATCTATTCATTTGAGTCAACAAAATAGGTGTTATCCATATTAAATCTTAATTTGGTTCCTGAATCTTGTGTAAATAAAATAAGGGGAAGGGTCACCTGGTACTGCCTGAATTGCTAAGAGTCTGACTGCAGAGAGACAGAAAATACATTTTCTTTTTTGTTTCTCCTAACTCTTCATATTCAAGACTTCAAGTGCATTCGTCACTCAGCAAAAGTTAACCAAGTTACATGATATGCTGCTGCTTATACGTCCATTACGGTCTAATCCTGATAAAGAAAATACAGTTATGAAATAAAATAATCTAATTTTTTTCTTCAAGTTAAAATCCATATGTATCTCGATTTTTAAAAAATCTTCCTCAAACTTCTCTATAAGTGTTTGTCCAAATTGAATCCAATGTCTATGATAACCAAAGCTTGCAAAATTTTTATGCTGCACGGATAATTTCCATTGAACTTGTCACTCTGCTAAATTTCCTCCATTATGTTGTGAACTATTGATTTTATCACCTTTAGTAGGTACATGACCAATTGTTTATTGAAAATATCGTACATTCAAAGAGTAATAAGAGCTTCATCACAGTTTTTCCCGACCAAAGACACAAGTCTATCAAACAGAGCAAACTTCTGAACCTCAAAGAGTAATTAATAAATTCCTTTAAAATATCTCACTTAGATAAAATTTTATTACTTTTGCATTAAACATAGTCTAGAAAGCTTCCTCATCTGATATTTTTATTTGAAAACTGCAGGTGCAATATAAAGGAATCTTTGATCTGCATAACTTGTCAATTTCCAATTGAATTTAATATATCTTCCTTGTATTAGAATTTCTTATCTCGGAGGAAGTGATACGTGTTACTTTCTGCAATTGAGGTCATTCTGTTTTTTATTTATTTATTTTATATATAGTGATAACCTTATGTGCGTTATTGTTGACTTGTTGAGATAAAGCATGTTCGTTTGTATCTGTATTATAATTATAATTAAGTTTCAAACTGACCTTATAACAAGGTCAAGCTCATTGATTTCATTGAATGCAAACGTCAGGTCCATTAAAAGAAAGGATAAAGTGGAAACAAAAGTAGAAACTGCTAATCAGGGTATTTATGATATAGGAAAAGAAAACAAAGTAAAAGTTATTGCATTAAAAACATAAAACTATTTAATATTTTTTTTTATTGATTAAACTGTAATTTTGGTGATTGATAATTTTGATTTTTTTATTTTAAAATAGAGATATTTCATTCTATTAAATTTTAAAATTATAAAATTTTAGTTTTTTTTATATTAAATTGAGATGTATTAATCGTTAAATTTTGATATTTATTTATATTTAAATGATGTGATATTAATAATATGATATTTAAAGAGAAAAAATAAAAATTTTATGAAAATAAAGTTTATTATTAAAATAAATATTAATTATTTATTAAAATTATATAATAGATTTTTTGTATATTATGTTTTAATTTTAATTTTTATGTATTATATTATTAAATATCATGTTATATAAATGATAATATATCACAAAAAAATATTAAAATTTAATGATCAATAAATATCAAATTGATAATAAAATTAAAATTATATATTTTTTAAAAATAAAAAAAAAACTAAATATATTTATTTTAAAATAAAGGGACTAAAATTATGAGAGATTAAAAATTAAATTTCAACACACTCAGTTAATAAAATCTTAAATTAAATTCAATTGACTGTGGATTATTTGAATTTAATTAGTAATTTTGAGTTAAAATTTATATATAATTGTATTAATTAGTAATTTTAAGTTCAAATTTATATATATACCTGTGATAAATATTTATAAAAAGAATTTGATCACCCTAGTTCTAATTGAATCAAACAGAATTACCTCACGTTAAAATATTTGTAGTCTACACTTAAAAAAATAATAATAAAACCTTAAACAAAAACACATTTGGCCAGCTCCGACGCTGGTGTTACACTCACAGCAGTGGTATCAAGCAATTTTTTTTTAAGAATTGGAGAGTATTTTTGTTGGAATAAGACCACTTTTAATGAGGCCCAATTAAATTTATATATTAAATATTAGTACATATTTATTTATAAACAACTTATTTAATTAATATATATATATATATATATATTTATTATTAAAAAAATTAAATATATTTTAATAATGTATCAATGTGTATTTCTTCACATATTTAATAATATCATTAATTTAAAAAATCTTTTATTTATTTAAATTAATTATACATAGCATTTCTTCCTATATTGTAAAAATTATTTAATTATAAATTCGTGTATAATCCTTTAAAATTCTCAAGATCTTTTCTTTGCTTTTTAAATTTTGAACTGAATTTGGTATAAAATTATTATTTAAATAATTGACATAAAAATATATTTAATTGAAATCAAGATGAATCATAAAATATAAAAGAGCGAGCTCTATAAAGTCTATTTAAGAAAGGTTTTTAAGTTATGGAGTTAGAAAAAAAATATTTTTTTATAACGATCTAATCAGTGAATTAAATATTTTTAATATATAAATTAAATATGTAAATTAAAAAAATTGAAGAGTATTTGATACCTTATTTTATTATTTTAAATTGATGGATTACTGAATTTACTTTATTTAATAACTCATATTTTATATCAAATTTTAACAATTCAATTGAATTAAAAGTTTTTAATGCATATCAAGTATGTAAATTTTTAAAAAAATTGAAAACTATTTGATACTTTATTTAATTAATTCAAATAAATGTATAAAATATTTTTATGATTATTCGTCAATTTAAATTAATAAAAGGAAACATAAAATAATTTTTAATTTTTTTAAATTTATAAATTTGATTTATACATTAAAAACTTTTATTTTAACAGTTGGACCATTAAAATTTGATGTAAAAATGAGTTATTGAATTATAATAAGTTTAAGTAAATTTATTTTTAAAGGACGTTTGGTACGCAAAATGTTTTTACTTTTCTAGGAATCTTAAATAAAAAATCTTGATTTTCCATGTTTGGTAGCTATTTGAAAAAAAATTTCTAAAAATATAATTTTCTGAAAACTATTTTTATCCCACTTTCTCACAAAAATATTTTCAAGAAGGTTAAGAATCTAACTTTTCTAAGATAGAAAAAAAGTTTTATGTATATAAAAAGACTAAAATATCATTTTTTAAAATAAAAAATCTCTCTCCTATTTCTCTTTCTCTCTTATTCTCATTCCTCCTCACTTCCTCTCTCTCCCTTTCTCTTCTTATATTTCTCTTTTTTCCTCTCTCTCCATCTTTTTGACTCTTCCTCTCTCCCTAGCCTTCTCCCTCTCTCCCTCCCCCGCTCCCACTCTCTCTCTCCTTTTTATATATTTATTTCCCTTTTTCTCTTTCTTCTATCTCATTATTTATTGATTTTGACAATTTTAATAATATCATTAAAGTTAGTTTTGTTTATACAATTTAATGATATTTATTAATACTTATTTATTAGAGTTAAATGAAATAATATATTTTTATTCTTCTTATTTATTATATAATATTTTTCTTTGTATATTTCTTTTGTTGAATTTTATATTTGAATAATTTTAACTATAAGTTGTTTTCAACTTCTTAAAATACTTTAATACCATATTTATAATAAGATTTGAATAAATAAATATATTTAATTAAATTATTTTAATAAATGATATTTTTGTAAAAAAATATTTATATACCCAGAAATTTATTATTATAACCAAACATGAAAATCTATAATTTTTGAAAATCATATATGAATATTTTTAAAAAAAATTTATAGTTAATCAAACACATTTTAATTATTTTGAGTAATCATGATTATCGATATTTATAATTTTCATGAATCATAATTTTTAAGTATAAAAAAAAATTTCTCTCCAACCAAACTCCTTAAAATAATTAGTGAATCCCTTCTTTCTCACACACATACATTAATGTGAATTGGTTCAACGAAGATGGCTTGTTTTTGGGACATATGGTCTTTGCTTTAAAGCTTTTTCACCATACTTTTTTTCCTTAGAAAGCACATTCAATCCACATATATAACTAACGGAGGAAAACTACAAGAAAACACTTCCTAATCAAACCGATAGACAGGTTTAATATAAATATAAAATAATATACAATTATAAATTTAAAAAATAAAAACGATCCACAATGAAGTTAATTTAGTACCGTGCAAAGGAATAGAAATGAGTGAGAAGCTTTTGATTTTTCCACCTCATACCCAAAAATCACTTCGACCACACTGTTTTAGGGAGCTAACTCATTAAATTAATACTACTTCATTCTTGGGATAATTTCAGTAAAAGAAAATTAAAGTTTAAGCGATTTGAGTAATTTGTGATTAGTTTTTAGATTGTATTGGAAATAATTATGAAAATTAGTCGATCACTTGTAATTAATTACTTTTTTAAATCAATTATAATCGAAATAAATTTTTGTTTTTGGTAAGCTTTAAAATATTTAATTTCATTTAGATATAACAACAAAATCGACTAATTGAAAAATATTTTTAATATACTCTTTTTAATGCATTTTTTTGTTATTAATTAGGATTTATTGAAAATCATAAAATTAGAAGAGATTCATTAAATATAATGTGATTGTAGAACTCACTATTTTTTGTATTTTTTTAATAAATTTCAATAGATTAAAAGAAGTATATTTAAAAGAGTGTGTTTTTAACATTTCTCTTGATATAATAAATCAACTTTAGAAAGAAAAAAGGTTGTTAAAAAATAATTATAAACTTCAAATTTCTATATAAACAACTAGAGTTAGCCTAATAATGAGAGATTGAAATATACACACAGTCTTAGACTCAAATTCTAGTATTGTCATTATAATCACTTTATTTTTTAGTGAAAAAAAAAATTCACAAATTTTAGTGTCGTCTCAAATATATAGTTTTTTTAATTTAAAAAAAACCTTTAAAATGAGAAAAAAAATTCAATTCCCAAACTTATTCTTAGTAGTGTGATTATTTATTTGAGAAAGGATTGTGGTTAATCAATTTTGGCCCATAAAAAGCAGCAGGACACTGATGTATTCTACACAAGTAAACTATTCTCTGTAGAAGACATCTTAGTCATAACAGCATCTGAAAGGTTAGTATGAAAAGTGTCTCTCTATTAGTAGGAGAAGTTATAAATAATTAGCCGTGGCATCACATAAAACTCAGGTTTTCTTGTTTACCTTCATCTTATAGAGGATTTCTCTGCAGGCATGTTTTTACTGTCAGAAAATATGTGCATAGCAGAGTAGTTGTTCAGGAATCTAACCAGAAAGATGTGTTGAAGAAAGAGTGAATAGTTTATAAATAGGAAAAAGATTCATCCACACTCAAAAGGTATTGACAAAAGGTATTGATACCTAAAGAGATAGGAAAAGAGGATACATAAGTAATTGAAAAGATCAATGAAGCAATGTAATTAAAAATAAAAAAAAAGGAAAAAAAAAAGGGAGACATTTAGAGAAATAGTGTGTCAAATGAGTGTTAATACTACTTGGAGTGCCAAAGAATAAGCACTCATAAACAACAAAAATGATGTTTAGATATCTAAAAATGTATTTAACACTTAATGAGAAATGATGAGTATTAATCAGATATTTGCAATAGTGAAGTATACGAAAATTATTGCTATAGTCTCTGACTTTTGGGCACGGTAATGTTAGTAATTTCTTGAGTGTGTTTGGAACCTGTTTCGACACAGTAAGTTTCCCGCATTTTAAGGGGAAAACTTAAAGAATGCATGCTGTAGAATGTTTTTATTTGCAAATTTATCATGAGATAATATGTGTCTTCATAGAACTTTATTGTTGTAAATTTAAATAATTTCAAAATGATTGGATTTCACTCCAGTTTCATAGTTAAATAACATAAGGTGTCAGGAACTGGAAGAAACTTCTGTCATATACTGACAGACAAGAACCACAATTTTCCTCTGGCAGTTTGTGCAAACGCTTCTCAAATGTTATAACAGTATTTTTCAATCATTTTTAATTCATGATACCTCCAACTCTTCTCAAATATTATAATAGTAACATATAATATTACATGGATGAACGGGTAAAAGGTTTATTAAATTTAATTAATGATATTGAGTTTAAGTATTATATATAATTGTATTAAATAATCGGAGTTTAAATGGATAACTATTATACACAAATATCAATCACGAATTTTATCTACAAAAACTCAGCTGTGACAATTTTTTTGTGATCCCTATCCTTAATCATTCATGCTTATTTACTCTACATCAATTGTGTAATTCAGTTCTTTTGTTAATTTTATATAATTAGTTTAAGTCATATATAAAATGTGTTCACATGCGGGATTATTAGGTATGCAAGCAAGCGCGTTAAATATTAAAAAAAAAGGCGAATCCTGCAGAAAGACAAGACCTCATATTGGGAAAGAGATAGAGTATTGGAAGCAATTCATGATATTAGAAATGGGGAAAAAAACTGGTGTGTGACACTTGAGTGGAAGAGCTTAAATGCGAGAGCACCAACCTAGTTAATTGGATGTCTCTTCCATTTTTTTAAAATCATAAATGTATCTAAAAGTGACATTGCCTTGACTAATTTGAATCAACTTAATTGAGTAAATTCATTTAAAGGGACCAAAAATTTCCAATACTAATATTAGGTGACATTTTATTCACATTGAGATGCCTTTAGATTATATGACAAGAATGTGTATGTGAAAGGGAAAGCTACAATTTGGACTTGAAAGGATCAAAACTAAAAGGCCTATAATATAGTAAAGAAAAAATAATTTTCTAACGTGTTTTTAATCTCATTACATCTCACTAGACGGACATCATGTAGCTTCTGATTTTCCCATCAGTTACATGCACTAAGAGTCCTTGAAAATGCAGGTGTTAAAAATTCGAAGGAAAGACTTTAATGGCTACAATGATGACATATTCCTAAATTTGCCTATTGTTTCCAAATGTATATGTACATAAAACCTCTTTTAACTTGTTTAAAAATTTATATTGAACCATGTTGCATAATGTAACAAGACTGCTATTGATACAACAGAATCCAAGTCTCCCAAGTTCGCATGTAATCCACAAATAGGAGAGACGAAAACATCCAATAGCACTGCTACATTTGGTCATGCTGCCAGAATAAGATGTTCGAAAGTATCTCAACTTGGAATCTGTGTTCAAGAAATCGCAGGCCCTCCTCCCGAGTCTCATTTTATCAAGGTAAAAAAAATCTTTGGACAAAGTTGGTATGCATTTCATTTTTGTAGCTTAATCAGTTTCTGATATGCCTTAATGTCTATTTAACAAAACCATCCTTTGATTAAAATATTCATTTTCCACTATCAAGACGAAATTTGCTACCATAGTGCTACTCCATAGTACTTACAACTACGATAATCCTCATGACAACAGAATGGATACACCCTGATGAATAAGACTGGAAATTAAGTAAAACTGAAACCTAACTAATATTTTAGAAGGTAAATCTAAAAATAAAGATATTACAATGCTTGCATAACCTTTTGGTAGGTTCTTATAATTAGTGTACTAAATTTTTTTTTTTCTTTTTTGGGGTCGAGGAAGCAATAGGCAACTGTTCTTTTTATGTACATAACAAAGAAAATTGTGGGCATTGTCAATGTCAAAAGTCTTCCAATCCAACTAAGACTATAGTGTCTCCTTCCGCTTGTATGCAAGCATCTGAAACAACAGAAAAAGTAAGAAATTTAGTTGCTACATAAAATATTAAAGACAAATGCTGGATGTTCCGAAATCCACACATCAAATGATCTTCCAACCCATTAAATGTTTAACATCTGTCAATTGATTTAATTTGATATTATCAATTTTAACGTTTGGATGATAATTCGACGTTTAAGAGTCGGAGGCTGTAGCATTCCTCAATATTAAAGGAGGGGAGGGACACCTTAGTACTCACCAAATGACCACTTTTGGATATGCATTTGGATTTAAGCCCTGCCAGAGTCTCATGTCCTTGCAAAATTTCCAGTTCATCTTTGTCTGGATCTATAACCAGGGTTGTTAGCTCATCATGTATCAGGGATGATTTCTCATCAGCTGACTTGTCACAATTTGTACTGCAGCATCCTTTGACTGCCAGTATCTCGATTCCTTCAACCGGCAAAGGTGTCTGACGAGCAACATACTATGCAGAAAAAAAAATACATAAAAATTTTAATATAATCATCACAAGGCAAGAACATTAACATTGGCACATTAACAAAAGCATATTATGCATTCATTTTTATCAAGAGGGACAGAAAATAACTCGGTTTATGTTAATAAAGCATCCTTTGTCAACTCCAGCTCATGAAGGTGCAAACAACCAAGTCACGTACTGATTTCACAAATATGGCGTAAAGCAATACTTGGCCTTCTGGTGGAGGCCTAAGCAATCTTTAGATAAAGTTGACCGAGAATTATCACTGCCAGAAACAAGCGATCAAAGACAGAGGATCTTACTTCATAAAGGTGCTTGACAGACAAAGTTGGTCGACAGCAAATGTGTGGCTGCTGCAAACTTGGTGTACTTTGTTTGTCGAGAGAAACAAGCATGACATGTACATCAAACTGTAAATAAAAATATATCATCTTTTTTATTAAATTGAACTGAGATAAGAATAGAATCATATTAAAGAAGCATTCAGTAGTAACATCTGTCACCAATTAGAAGAGAGGGATGAAAACCATACCTTGTCAGTGTTTTCTTCCAAATTTCGGAAATGATCCACCAACTTAGACAATCGACTGCTGCGAGAAATTTTACTATTGCTACCACCACCACTGCCATGCCGAGTGTTACTTCTAAAACCACCTCTTCCCCAGGTAAGCTTTCTAGGTTTAGACACCTGCCTTGAAATTCCTCGATTTTCTCTAATATCCATATCGCTATCTATGCCTCCACCATCAGGACTTGCCATGGATGATGAGGGTTGAGAGGGGCGAACTCTAGCCCATCTCTTTCGCCTTTTCTGCCGGTTTTCTGTACTTCGTTCATCAGCTGAAGATGAGTCCTTTTCATTGTTGTCATTTTCCTCCTCGTTATCTTCAGATCCTTCATTTGCTTGGGTTTGTCTCCTAGAATGAATGCTTCGTGGATTACGCTGCGATCTTGTTACAAATGTACCTGGTGTATCTTTACGTCTCTTAACCAGTGCTTCAGATTGCCGTTGAACTACTTTTGCTATTGAAGCTTGAATCTGCCAAAAAAACTAGAATGCTAAGATTTGAAAATTGAGACAATGTTGACTCAGGAATGATATGATTCAATATTAATAAGGCATGAGAACCTCGGCAATAAATAAATATTCATTGATAAGATATGAATTTAGGAGTTGATATGTCATGGAAGCCATGCAGATTGTCAATGACTCAGCAGTCAACAGCAATCAGTAAAAAAGTGTTGCAAGTTATCACTGGCATAAATATTACACACATATGAATACTGAAAGCATGCTTAAATATGTTTAAGCAATAAATATTCACCAGCTTATTGCGGTTCTTCTCCTCTTCACGAAATTCAAGCTCCTGCAATGGGATAGTGAATGATATCACTAGTTGAGTTTTGTGAAAGCTTTCCCTTAATGTAAACACAATAAAAGTTGAAGTAATAAAGTGATCGACTTATACCTCTTCTTCATACTTCTCAATATCTGGATACAAAGCGGAAATAAGGGCATCATAGTTTGGATCATCTCTCAAGGAACGGCGACTGGCACAATGTGTGCGGCAGGCAGGGCATTCATTGTTCCTGAGACAATGCATAAATGATAAAATGTGACTGCATACAGAAACTAAAACATGTATTCTGACGAGCACAATAAAGACATAAAGGACTTGGATCACAATTATCAGTAGCATATTATATAAATAAAAAGCTTCATGAGTCCTACCCTAGTCGCATCGATTTGTCAATGCATTCCCTGCAGAAACGGTGCAAGCATTCCATAACAGTTCTTGTCTTCTTAATAATACCTGTTCAAGCAGTAATTAGTCTTTCACAGACAATATATGTTTGCTACCATTCGAGCATGAAGTGAGCAAGTTTCAAAAAATTTCTTTATAATAAAATCCAAAATTGAATGGTCAAACCACAATGAAGATTACAGGTACCCAAAACATCAGGCAATCATATCATGGTTGAGTTTTAAAAAACACATCTAGTGCTAGTAAAATATGTGGAATATTTTTTCTTTTCAGTCAATGTTGAGATTTTTTTATCTTTATGATTTTTCCTTTCCAGCAAAAACCTTAACACAGCAACACGTCTAGGAATTGCCAAATCAGTGTAAAACTAAGAGCTCAAAGAAACAGTTACAAATTAGAGCTATGAATCCTATATATAGCAAAAAACTTAACACCGCAATACAAGTCCAGGAATTTTCAAATCTGTGTAGAATTAAAGGTGTGCTTGAATCACCGTTGTTTTCAGTTGAACCGATCATTAATCAGTTGTGTTCAGTTCCTATATATCATTAGGGTGATGCACTTCTTACTACTTGTTTTTAAATAAATAGGATGGCCTTCTCTCCTCTTAAAATAATATTCCTCATTCAATCATCTTCCCAAATAAACCTTTATATTATAGTTTATAAACAAAACATACAAAGTGAACCATTTCAATATCCAGAAAGATATAGAATGCTTGTTGGGAAACTCATTTATCTCCCAATTACAAGATCTAATATCTCCTTTGCAGTTGGAGTTGAGACAAATCATACAAGCTCCTTGAATTGATTATTGCAATGTTGTAATTCGCATTCTCAAGTATGTTAAAAGGGCTCTAGGACAGGGTCTACTGTATGAGAGAATAAAGGAAATACTCAAATCTCTGGGTATTGTGATGTTGAATGGGCAAGAAGCCCCATGATAGGCGATCTACTACCATATACTATATATCCATTGCAGGAAATATTATCTTGTGGAAGAGCAAGAAATAGAATGTTGTTGCTAGATCTAGTGCAAAAGCAGAATATAGAACTATGGCCACAACCACTTGTGAGTCGATGTGGATTAAGAACCTTCTTCAAGATTTTAAGTTTTGTGAAATTCAACAAATTGAGTTGTTTTATGACAACCAGACATTCCTTCACATTGCCTTTAATCCAGTGTTCCATGAAAGAACTAAACATATAAAGATTGATTGTCACTTTGGTCAAGAAAAGTTGTCCAAGGAGATTAGTACTGAATTCATCAATTCAAATGACTAACTTGCTGACATTCTGACCAAGTCTCTTAAAGGGCATTGGATTTTAATCATTTATTCCAAGCTTATTAGAGCAAACAATCTACATGCTCCAACTTGAGGGGAAGTGCTAGATTAATATATGTATATTGTAAGTTTTTCTGTTTTGTAAAAGGCTTTTTTTATCTCTATTGTGGCTATCTGTCATAGATATAAGACTGCAATTCCTGATGGTAATCACTCTCTTTCTTGTATTATTGCACTTTATTTTCAATTTAGGGTTAAATATGGTTTTGGTCTTCCAAAATTTGATTCTATTTGGTTTTAGTCCCTCAGATAAATTTTCCTTGATTTTCCTACTCCAAATTTATGTAATACCTAATTTTAGTCTTGTTTTTAAACACTATTAACTTTTGTTGTTAAAATAGGTCACCTCAACATCTAAATCACCATTAGTTTTATTGACATGAAATTTTTTTAATTTGAAATATTAATTATTTTAGGATTAAGTTAACTTTTAGCGTAAAAACTAATTTTAGACTTGAAATTTTCACTATTCACTCTCAGACACAAATATAAAGGTTCCCATAATTCCCCTTTTACTTGAACAAAAAGGCTCCTACCAAACCTAATAAAATGTTCTCAGAAAATCAAAGCAAGGTTTTTTTTCTCTATACTATCACTAAGTCCATAAACGTTCAATTTTACGCCTTTTTGGACAACCCTCTAAGCTTTAAATTCTAAATTTTCAACAACACCCTTTCACCCTCAATGGCTCTCGAAGCCCTCAACACACAAATTATTTTAAACAACACTCATTCTTCTCCTTCCCCGAGCTTCAAGGTGCTACCTTTCAGAAATAGGAGGCCCTCAGCTTTTTTCGTTGGGGGTGAAAGCTAAATAGAGCACTTCCAGAACTTCCATGCCTATGTCCAAGATTGAATAGTGAAAAGTTTTAAGTGTAAAATCAATTTTTACTCTAAAACTTAACTTAATCCTAAAATAATTAATATTTTAAATTAAAAAGTTTCATATCAATATAATTAATGGTGATTTGGGTGCGCTAACTAAGTTGACCTATTTTAACAACAAAAGTTAACGGTGCTTAAAACAGGATTAAAAATAGGTATTATATAAATTTGGAAGACTAAAATCAAGGAAAATATTTTTGAGGGACTAAAACCAAATAGAGTCAATTATTGGAGGACCAAATATATATATATATATATTGGTGTGTGTGTGCCTCTAAAGTATCCCCCCCTTGCTTGTGCATGTTTAGAGTCATGGAACTCAAATCAAGCCTATCTCATTTCGAAGATTCACACCCAACAGACTAGACCTCCAAGCAACAAGAGTTTAATCCACCATCTTGTCATACTTTGAACCAAAAAATAAGGATATTATAAAATAAAATTGGATATACGATGTGTGAAGTTAAAATTAAACTTCCTTTACCCATGGAGGGATGATGGATGGTCCTAATAAGATAATTTAAAGTCTTAACTTCAACTTTTCCTTCATAGTCGTACTTTGGATTCAACTATATTGTCCTTTCCATAATAAATGTGGTTATTATTGGATATCTCACATCACCCAGTAATATGACAAAAATATAGTACATAAGTGGGGGAACCTTTACCTTACAAGTCGATTTTGTAGGGTTGAGTTAACCCAAAACCTACATTCTAAGATAGTATCAAAGTCCATTTTAGTGATTGTTGTTGGGCCAATCGATCCACCCGCTATTAAATCATTATCAAATCACCTGCAGATGTCGAGTCCGGTAAACTTTATACTCGAGATATTAAGTCCTTAGCTTGACGGGTGTGTGTTAAAAATCCCACATCAATTGGTTATAAAGTCAAAATAGTGTATATAAGTGGAGAGAATCCTTACCTTAAAATAGTATCAAATTCTATCCTAGTAGTTGTTGTTGGCCTATCGTGTCACCTGCTATTGGACCACCCACAGATATCCAATTTTGCAAACTTCACGATCCAGATGTTCAGTCCTTGGCATGACTCGTGAGAGGGGTGTATTGGAAATCTCACATTGACTAGTGATATGACCAAGATATAATATATAAGTAAAGGACAATTTTTACCTTACAAGTCGGTTTTATAGGATTTAGTCAAACCTAAACCTATATTCTAAGAGTTATAAAACAATAGTCTTCCTTAAAACCTATCTTAGCCAAGTACAACAAAATTAGGAACAATGGAAGGAGTTCCAAAATTAGATTAAACTAGCATACTAATTCCAACTGAATGCATCTAACTCACTAAAATCACTCATTAGACTAATGCATGAAAACATTCCTATCTTATAAAATTATAATACATCTTGTTAGAAAGACACTTAATTGCAGTAACCTCTAACCTATCTCAATTGTGCCCTATTTGGGGGCTGCATTAATTGTCGTCTCAAGGGTGAAAATTGAGTCTCTCACCGACTAGAGATGTGGCTTAAATAGAGCTTATAAAACTTTTACAATCCCTACCTTTTAAATCGGTTTTGTGGAATTAAGTTAGGTCCTAAGACCAAATTCTAAGATAGTATCATAATCAATCCTAAATGGTTTGAGTTAGGCCCTAAGTCTAAATTCTATGCTATTATAGCATATTCTAGATCCATCGTTGGGCCACCTACATTTGCCACACTCCAGGGTGATAGCCTTGGGCGTGAAGGGGAGTGTTGGAAATCTGCCTTTATTATTGTTGCCCCTGACCCACCTTAGTTGTGGCTCAGTCCATATCAACTAGAGATTTGGCTTAAATAGATTTTATAAAGCTTTAGACAATCCTAACCTTACAAGTCAGCTTTGTGGGGTTAAATTAGACCCTAAGTCTAAATTCTAAGATATTTATATTTATATATCTAGGACCATCTACACACACACATTAACAACTTGACTATTGTCCTAAAGTATTCTAAAGGAAAACTCAAAATTATGCTTCCTTCACATAACTATAATTGACGGATGATCATAAGATAAGAAGAATAAATTAATATCAATTTTACCAAAATGATCAATTTTCTAAATACAAAGTAGGTAATAGTACCAGCAACAATAGAGAATACAAAACTACTGAGGACCAGTAATAGTTTCATGATCACCCAATCATCCATTTAAAATCAGAGACAATTCTACTAGTGTCTTTTATGAAAAATAACATGTAATACTCATCCTCTCTCCAACTTACAAAACTCAGCATTAGCATGGAAAACTTTCCATCGCACATCAGGATCTTTTAATAAGCAGAGAATTGAGAGACAAGAAGTATATTTTACTGCATAGATATAGGCACATTTTGACTGTAGAAAATTCAAAATCACATCCAATTATGCCATCATGAAAGTGCAAACAAAAACATACCAAGGCAAATTGGACACTGGACATCTTTACGAATTTCCAGAAGTTCTACATACACGAATCTGCAAACAAAATGAGACAATAGGCATATAATTATATAACTTGATAGAAAGAACAATATATATAAACAATACCGAGCCTTCCTTCATAAAAGTAACTAATCAAAGTAACATGATATTCTAAAGAATCACTTCCCATCACAAAATGTGGATATGAATATATTTTTTTCTGTAACAGAGTATTAATCAAACCCATTTGGTTTTTTCCATTAAGCTTACATACTTCTCTACGTAGCAAATCTTTATCAAGAACTTTTACTGTTTTACGCATCTTTATATGCTCATTATCTCCTCTCATAAGGAGAAAAAAACAATGATTAAATTGAACCTTCAATTCTTTATTCAAAATGCAGTAGTGTGCAGATATATCTATATTTTTTTTTTGTTTTCTTTCTTCAGCCAAAATGTTTTGTAAAAGCTATGAAATTGTGATAAATGAGACCTAAACCATTCTAGTGATAGATAGAGAATATGAACTGCAACTGAAATGAGTATAGTTCACTCTCTGTATAAATGAAACCAATTATTTGATGAGTTCTTGTTAGGATTAACTTGTTCTCAACACCCTGTAGCACCTTTTGTCTATGACAACCGTGGACAGACATTGAAGAAATGCAGAGAACAAGTCAAGCTACTCAAGAAACACCACTAATTATGAAATACAGCTTCAGGGAAGCAACAATAACTACTTGTCAAACTATCAGAGTATCAGATCTTTATCGGAATCAAGGTTTTAAAAAATGATCCACAACCACAATTTTGGCCTCAACATCAAGGTTTCTAGACTCTCAGCAACTGTACCATGACTGCAATTGCGGCCCCGCATCAACAACATTTATCCACAATTTCCCACAACATCAAGGATTGTGAGGAGGAACTGCAACTGCAATTTGAAACCTTGATCTGAATCAGAGTCCCAAATCTATGATATCCAGAAATTGACCACTGCTACCATGCCAAACAACACATGACAACGCCTCAAACATTCTGGTTTTGAACTCTTGCCATATAAATCAACACAATAGTTTATATATGGCTAATTAGAACATTATGATGCACATGACTTGAACTTTACCCCACCCTCCCTACGAAAACTAAAACAGTTTGAAAATTGTAACTGTAGCATTAATAACACATGATTGTTGGCGCTGATTGATTTTTAATCCAACGCTATAATTCAGACTCAATAACAAAAAAACTACGCTAAAGCAATTACTTTGCTTTACCACGCAAGAAACGAACAAGTTTCAGGCGTAAACAAGTCGAAAATCCAAACATGCAAACGAACTACAAAAATCAAACGGGGGGACTCAAAATTCAGACACCCCAACTCAAACAGCACGAACAAGTATCACCCCTTCACACAGTCAAATGGAACCAACCAAAATCCACAACACAAGCGTTCAAATTCAACGCAAGACACGCAGAAAACGGCAAAATTCACACTAGGCCACGATCCGGAAACAGATGCATGGAATCAAAACGTGAATCTAAGAAAAAAAAGCACAAAACATAAGTTTCAAAGCAATGCAGACGCTCTAGAGAGAGAGAGGGAGAGAGTACTCGGGTTTTTCTTCAGAGCCAGAAGATGGGGTTTCGTCGGAATCTGACAACAGAAAAGAAGAGAACTTGAGCGCATGAAGAATCACATAGGCGAAACAAAGCGCGACCCAGTTGAGGAAAACCCATTGGGGCACCGAAAACAACACGTAATCACGAAGCAGCCAAAAATAAAAAAACAAACAAAAAAAAGGTGATACGTAACCCTGCGGTTTTTCCTTGTCATGTTGCGCCGCTTCTTCTTCTTCTTCTTCTTCTTCTTCATCTCCTTCTTCCTCCTCTTCTTCTTCTTCCTCTTCCTCCTCCTCTTCTTCTTCCTCCTCCTCCTCCTCCTCTTCTTCCTCTTCCTCCTCGTCCTCGTGGTGTTCCTGCGTGTGGTCTTGTTGTTGGTGGTGCTTGGCGTGTCGAGAATGGAAGAGGCTGTGCTGCGAAGTGTCCCCTTCGTCGAGAGAGTCGGGCAAGGAGCGCTTCTGGGCAGGCATTGCTGCTTACAGAGGGATTTGTGCTGCACAAGAAGGAGAAGAATGAGATTGAGATTTTCGTTCACCTCTTACTTATATTTATATAATGTTTAATTAAGTGTTTACTATTGTTTATTTTGTGTGCTTATTAGTTATTACTAGTATTACTATTGTGTAATAGAAGATATTAATGAATATTGTATTATTTTAATCAATAATGAATATAGAGAGAGGAGAGGAGGAAGGAAGGAACCGGTTTGGTGTTGGTGTCTTGCGCCAAGGCCGGAGAGTGGAAGCCTTTTCTCGTCCTAGTGTCACACTGATGCGATTTGGTCAAACATTTCTTTATGGGTTTGGATAGTCTTCATATATTATTATTATTATATTTTAATACTATTTTTATTAACATGTTTATTCTTTTTTATTGATAAAAAGATTACAACAGTTGTAACGATCAACAGAGCTAGGTGTACAATTAAATTATTTATTATTAGAATCATAATAAATATTTGTTTCGATAAATTTACTTGAAGTGATTTTGAGATATGTAATTTATGTTTTTTTTTAGAACATTTTTACAAATTTAAGTTGTTAACTCAAAGAATCGACTTATTTTATAAACAACTTGTTTTTATTAAATTAGCTGAAATAGAAGGAAAAAAAAATAATCTTTTCCAAACACACTGATGTTGAACTTTCAGTACCAAATCAATTAGAGTGATTTATATTATATTTGATGATATTTTATCTTAGAATATTTTATAAAGTACACTTTAATTGTAATCGTATAGTTTTTAATTTTAAATTTAATTATATATATGAATTTAATGATTGTCATAAAACTAAAGATCAATTTTAATATAGTCCCGTGGAAAGGAATTTGACCTCTTTATTAAACCATAAATTAAATCTATTAAAAGTTTGAATGTGTAAGGACAAGTGAACCCATCTTACATATGCATACACCTTGGAGAAGATCGTTGTCTCGAAGGCTACTTTCGTAATTAAGCATAATGTGTTCTGTTCTTGCTGCTTACGTTTGTTAATTTGTCTCCCCCACAACTGTTGCCCCTTCTAATCTATCTCTTCCCCCTTTCTTCTGCCTTATTATGGTCTTCTTTTTGCTTCTTTTCTTTGAGCAAAATTCTTTTGGTTTGCATAGGGGTTTATATTTATTAGAAAATGGAAGCTTGGCTTTTTGATTTGGGAAAGAATAATGCACCTTTTAGTATTCAAAGAAAAAGTTTAGGTGAGAAGAATGACAATATCTTATTTTCATTTATTTATCATAACCAAATTTAATATTAATAAGATTTACACTCTCATACACTCTACTTTACTTATAATTAAAGGAAAATAACTTTATTTTTTACCTATAAAAAATATTACAAACATGGTGGTAATAAAGATTGATCATGAGTCTTCATACATTTCCTTTAACTCTTTTCTCTCTATTATTGTATTAGTTTTTTTAATATTTATCTTATTGTTTTCTTTATTTAATATTAGAGTAATACAAAATTATCTTGATAATGGTTAATTATCTCAAATATGTTGATTAAGATTTGATTCTTAATTCTATGTGTAAAAACATTGTATTAAAGGTAAAAAAAAATTTAATAATCACCTTCAACTCGAAGTTATATGTATTTGAAAGAAGAAAGAAGAAGAAAAAGTCTGGAAGCAATAATGAGTTGCTTTGTTTTTATTTTAAAAAATATATACTTCTATCATTTTTTATTAATATACAATTCTGATTTTTCTATCTTAAAATAAAGACATAATTTCTAATTTTAAAAAATATAAATTTTTGTTTTACATTAAATTTAAATAACATGATATTTAATAATATAATATTTAGAGATTAAAAAAGCTTTAAATATATATATATATATATATTATTTGTTTTAATGACGTAATATTTTTAAGTTTTCTAAAGTATTAGTTTACAATAATTTAAATTTCTAGAAGAATAGGTCCCGAATAAAGTTAATATTTATATATATAAAAATCTTCAAAATAACTCAGGCTCTTGACCTAATTATAGTCTAGACAAATTAAAACTATAAGTCCTGTTGAAAAGAATTAAACCTAGTCATACACATACCTGAATTTAAAAATAAATAAATAAAATATTTGTTTAAAGGGTGTATGGCATTGGAAGAATAATCAAGCAGTATCTCACTATATAGGAAATAATTATATTATTCTTCTTTGGTTAGCTTAATGAAGCAAAATTGGAGATTGTTCAGACTGTTCTATGTTTCTTAAACGCTACATCTTACTAAATTCACCGAAACAGATAAATTTCACACCATTTTGAATTACTCTTGCATTTAATTAAAGCAAAGGCAAAACTGCTTCTTATAGCCATAACAAAGTGGTAATATGATATTATCAAAGATTTGCTATTAAAGTTCGGCTGCTGCGAGCATATATATCATATATGCCAGTGTAATTGCTCCTAAAATAGTTCTTTCTCACGTTAGGACAATATAGAGAAATATTTTGAACCAAAAAAATATATATAGAGAGAGAAATATCGATAGATGATGAACTCTAATTAAGCTACAACAACACAAAAACACGACCTCAATCCATGCATGGTAACCTGCTAGGAGTTCAAGACAAGTGGGGTTACGTTGTGATAAAGTGATAATTCTATACCATTAGAAAATAGCTTAATATCTATGAAGTACCCACTATAGATATTATATATATATATATATATATATATTAATTTTTATGTGATAATAATTCTTGGAAGATAAATTATAATATTTAAAAGTTAAAATAACTAATGATTCTTTTGAGAATGAGTTTTACAAAAGATTAAAAAAAGTGTTATGAGTTTTGTAATATTTATTAATTAGTTATCCTTTTTATTATTTTGTTTTATAATATATAAGAGTGTTAGATAAGTATTTTGTTAAGAAAGTTATTGGTTCACTTTTTTAACTCGTATTCAAATCATGTCAAAAAGAGTTCAAATTGTATCAAGGAGGTGTTTGAAAAGAAAAAAAAAATTATGACATATATAGTAAAAAAGTGTTATATATGTGTCTGACATGTATGTATGATGTTTGAAAGATGTGAAACACGTCAACACAATATTTTATAGGTATATTAATGTTTTATAGCCAAATAAACTACCATTAAAGCTAAGATAAAAATAAAAAATTAATAATAAAAATTAGTAATAAATATTTTCATTTTTTTGTCCATAGACAATAAGGAATATACTTATGTAACTTGATCAATGTTAATGACCGTATAAATATCATTATCACTATTTATTTTAGAGAATTTTAAAATAACATTAAATAATTTTTTTAATATTATAATATGTTAATTTCATCCAATAAAGTTCTTTAACTATTTAAGTTTAAAGAAATATTTGTTATGTTGCTACTTTGGTCAAAAGATTGGTGAAAATTTTGGATTCAAGGGTTGGACATAAAGCAAAGAGAGTGAAAATTTTGAATTCCTACATTTTGTGCCTCATTGTCACCGGCCATTATTCTTATTTTGCTGCTCAATTTCTCTTTTACTCACTTTGTTAGTGGCTTGGAATGAGACTTGAGAGAGAATGAAAAATTGAACTTGCATTATTCTCTGAAACAACGACAATTTGTTTAGGAACCTACTGAGTTGTGGATTCTAATCTCAACTTTGCTTATTTGGTTGAACAATTATACATGCATGACAAGCTTGTCCTGAAGAGTAACAACCCTCATGATTAAAGTTGAGACTTGGTAACAGCAGAGTTTTGGAAAACTTTACAAACAGACACGCTTAGTAAGTACAACAAGAAAAAAAAATTTCTAGCTTCTTCAAGAGTTTAAGAACCTTCTTATAGTTATTCTATTGCTACAATTTAATCTATAACATTAACGAAGAACAGAACTTATTATAGTATCCACATTGTTTTTATTCTTCAATACATGGCTTTAATTCTTTAATATTTATCTACTTTTTTATTATTTAACTATTTCATTATTCTTAAGTTAATCAAACACTTTCTTAATTTTATTATTTTTTATAGCAAAACACGAAATGTCTAGTTTTCACTAGTTTTATATAAACATAATTCTTTTAAAAAAAAATAGAAACCACAAAACTTACGTAGTTTATCTCGCACGAGAAGAAATGCGGATCTGAAGATATTTTTCAATATTATCATATATTATATTTCACTAATCGAAATGAAATATAAAACGTAGCGGATAAATGTTATAAAATAGATTAATTAAATATGCTATAAATAACTTAAATTGTACAAATGTGATAACTAGCATAAATTATACAAATCAGGAAACTTTAAATTGAAAACAACAAAAATTGTTGATCTTAAAAATGGAAAAATCAATCCAGCAGTAAAACTGTCGAGCATCGCTTAATAATTTAGTTACAAATCCTTTTAAAACAATCAGCTAAAGCAAACATAAGCAATTAAGCATGTGAACTGTGAATAACACATGGATTTTAGAAAGCTCCTTCAAACATTTCACTTATTAATAACCAGGTTGACCATTCATTAGCAACGTTGACTCAATTGATATAACAAACAAAAAAGAAAAAGATTTAAATTTGATTCCTTAGTCCATTTCTTGGGTTGGATTCTCAATGGTGGAGACTAGATAACAATCATCTCCAATCCCCTAAAGGACAAAAAATGGCTAACATTACGAAACTCTCATCTCTCCAAGAATAAAAATATATTCTGATTTTAATCAACAAAAACAAATTATTGTTTAGCTACATTTTCATGGGTAGCTATTTTGGGCCAAAAGGAATCCATTAATGGGGTAGAAAAAAGAACAATATTCTATTGAAACCATCTTTTTTCCTTTTGTTCTTTGTGCATGCAAAAGCAAATGGACTCATTGTGCGTTCGGCGCATATCTTATCCCATGGCAAATTGGCTAACAGGATTCTCGTAGCCAACCCTAATGTTCCCACCCACATTCCACATCTCTGGATCAGGACAAAGCTATACACAGGTGACAAAATTTGCATAAAACTAATTTCTTTTAATTAGAATGAACGAAGAACCCATGTTAATGTTCGTTAGCATGGTTGATTGTAACATGTAACCAACACGATTGATTGGGAGAAAATTAGTTAAAGACATGTAACACAACATACAGCAAGACATGTAGCATAACACAAACCATAATGGTGCCAAAGAATATTAAGATATATCAAGCATAATGATTGAACATTATGGACTGAAGTGCATAGTAATTTATACTTCTAAGGGGGTAACAGCAACACCATGAAATGGATGTTGCAATGTTTCTTACATCACTTTTTTAAAAGTTAAACTATTCATTTGATCCCAATAGTTGTCTTCATTTCGTGTTTTAGTCCTATACGAGGAAATCGCATGTTTTAGTTTTTATACATGTATTAAAATAAGTTGAGTCTTTTGGCTAATATAAAATCACTATAAAATCTTTCTTATAAAAGAAACTGTGTAGGGGCTATATCAGTCGTATGATGCTTGAAAATGAGTGAATTGTCGTTTGCAGTATGTCAAACGAATTTCCAAACATGGTCTATATCTTGCGGTATTCTTGTACTGAGACTAAAACTTAAAATAAAAATGACTATATGGATCAAATGAATAGTTTAACATGTTAAAAGTTATTTATCTAAATGCAATCTTGATCATTATGAATGTGACATAGGAATAGTTTGACAAATACATCCCCAGGATGACAGAAGAGAGAGAGCAGAGTTGAGATGAAAGCATATCTCATCTTATCTGGAAATGTTTGTAAGGTGCATTTTCTTGGAGTTGAATTCTTTCCCTTTCATCAGCCTGACCACAAGCAATGTCCTTCAATTGAGGGGTCCCTGTCCCTTTGCGGCTTGACCCTTCTGCTTGAGACTGATCACCATTCTTTCTCCTCCTTTCATTGTGTCCAGCCAAACGCCTGCGGCAACTCCTTTTTGTGTCATCAAATTCAGCTAACTCGTGGAATCTACACACCATTTGTTATTAGTTTAGATACATAAAAATAATAGCATTACTAAATTGTCCAATACATGACCTTACTAGCCAATTTTGACCAATCAATGAGAAGAAAACACCAATGAGATTACAGCTTAATTCTAATAGCAAAATTATATTTTTTTTCTTGAAAAGAGGGTAAGGCAGACTCTGATTTTATTTTACACATTACATTAAATGAAATGAAATAACATTCCAAAATATGGTATTTGTATATGCATAATGGACCCATGCAGAGACATTAAGCAATCCCTTCACAAAGTAACACAAATTTGAGTAGAATTTCAACGTAACAGAATTAAACCAGAATCTTCATAACCACGTTTAGATTAAATTCAACTCAATAGAAAGGAAACAAAATGGTAGAAAATATTATGTTTCTTGCGTGGTGTGGAAAATAAACAGCAGATTCACAACCACCAATCAGAGATTCTGTTTCCATCGTCCATGAAACAAGAGAAGAAAAAATGATCGTTTTATAGCAAGCACACAAGTACAACCCCACACTAGAACTCCAATTCAACCCAATTTCAAGTTGCACCCTATTTCTAAACTATCCAACTCTAAAAAGTGGAAACAACAACTCTATGCTCATCAGTTTCAAGATTAACCGTTCTTTCATAGTAATCCTATCCAACTCGAACAAAATTACTTTCAAGAAAGTATAATTGTGGTTTACACCAAATCATTGATCATTCCTCAGGAAACAAAACTTAGATGCAACTTTCATCTCAGTTACTTTCAGTATTCTCTATTTAGAATTAGAGTTTCAATTTAATGACCATTCAAACATTTGATGTAAACCTTTATAATGCAAATTAACAAAAACAAAACTACAATTCTAATAGAAGAACAAAGTACAAAAACATATAAGAAGTTCATCTTGGTCTTGCCCGTCCTGTTATCATAATACAACCAAAGTTAACAAGAATAAGAAACCTCATAAAACCATAAAACAACCAAAGTTAGCACGAAAAAGAAACCTCACAAGACGGGAAAACACAAAATAGTCGAACCTCCCCAAACCTGCTACATTGCTGACAAAACCGTTGTCTGACTCCATCCACAAGCACAACCTGAGCCTTGGCATGGTACTCACACACCCTGTGCCTCCTGTGGTACTGCTTGGCCTCATGGAGATCCGCGTTGCACTTCTCCACTTGACAACACCGCATGCCATTGCCACCACCACAAGAAGACCCTTTCTTGCCACTACCACCAGCCACCACTTTCTTCTTCTTCTCCTGCTCCACGTACCCTATTTGCTCATCAACACAATCCGCCACGTCCCTCTTCAACCTGTCGCTCCTCATCGCCACCTTTGGCACCATCCCCTCCATGAAAGAATGGTAGAGTTTGTGTTGAGGCCGCGTGGTGAGTGATGAGAGAGGAAATATAAAGGTGGAAAAGTCAGTGAGGACCACAACACAAAGTGAGTGCTCCATTTATATTTTTTCTCAGCACCTCCCATAATGGCTTTGTTTTTTTGTGTTGAGGTGGTACGTGGGACTAGAGAAGCTTGTGAAGGGTATGAAAGTGAAAGTAAGACTCAAACAATGAAAGGAAGTGGCATTATTGAATGAGGGAGTTGAATTGTGGTAAAGCAGTGGGACCATGACAGTTGTGAGAGACGAGGAAGAAGATAGATGATTTGCATGTGTGGTTGGTTGAGCCTCAACAGGTCCTGTCAGTAAATAAATAACTCTTCTCACATTAAAATGTTTATTCAACAGGGCAGCTTAAAGTATATAAATATGGTTGTGGTTAACTATTATTAAGTCTTTTAATAACTTATTATCATTATTAAGTTAGATAAAATTAATTTTTATTAAACATTTCAATATCTCATTGGTACTATCACATTGTTAAGTCAAAAAAATAATTTTAAATTTCTTAGAATTTTAAATTTTAATGATAGCATATATAGATATTTTTTGAAAGAAATTTTTTTCTTTAAGAGGTTTAGTTATTTTGATATTAAATATCATAGACAAAGCATTGTATCGATAAGAGATATATGCTTATAACTTATATCACTTATGATGTTTGATAACAAAATTATTTTTGTTTATATGATTTCTTAATAAATCGAATTGATAAAGTTTCTTTGGTACTAACAATTCACTAAAAGAACTAAAAACATGTTTTTTGTCAAAAAAAAATGACAAACATCTGTACTAAAGAATGAAAAAATTGCATGAAAAGTTGTTTCAGAGTGATACCTACATGGTTCTTATCTTTTGGTACTTAAAAATTGATAAGTGATTTTCCTGATTAAATAAGAAGTGATAATTTGATGAAACACATTTAATGCAAGCATTTAATGTACCAACAAATACTTCCCTCTATAAGGAACGAAGATGAAAACAAATAAAGCAAGTTTATGAAATATGCTCAAAGATTTGCAAAAGTTATCTTCATAAAACATTTATATAAAGAAGTTTAAAGATTCAGAAAGAAAAAGATACATTTATTCATTATAAAAATATATTATTATTTTTTTGTAAAGAAACATTGTACTTAATAGGTAGTATCACATATTGATAGTAAGACGAAACAACATTATTAACTTACCACTTTTAACTTTGTGTTATTGCTTTATGCTTAGAGAGACTTCACTGTAAAATAATACTTAGCTATTAGAGTCTAAAGAAGTTTGACCATAAAACAATTCTTAGTTGTTAGAGTTTGGAGAAACTTAATTATAAAAGAATATTTGGTTGTTAAAGCCTAGAGTGGTTTGACCGTAAAAGAATATTTGATTGTTTGAAACCTTGAGAGACTTTGTGTTAAAAGAATAGTTCGATAGTTGTTTGAAAAAGTAAGTCAAATAACACTTAGGTTGAACCAAAAGTGATTTATGAAAGAATACTTGTATATTTGTAAAAGATATATAGTAGAACTTGACCAGATTGATTAAAAATTAAACGTAGTCTCAATGATCGATATGAATTAACATAAAAAAAACATTGTGTGTTCTTCTTATTTTGCTTTTTGTTTGCTTTCTTATAAGTCTTGTTATTATTTAATTATTTTTAAAAAGTGTTGAGTTTTAAATAAATATTGTTCAACCTCCTTTATAGTGTTTCTCTTTTCTCCACACAAATAGCTAATTGATATAATGAATGGATTTGGTAACGTATTTGAAGAATTTCAAAGATTTTTTCACTAGTTTCAAAATTTTGTTTTATTGAAATAAACTTATTTAATACATGAGTTTATTTTATGAGTTTATAATTTATTTTCATAAGTTAATTGAATTAAAACAACTTATAATTTACATGCTCTTAATTTTTTTATTATTATTAATTTACTTAAAATCATTTTTATCTTTTCTTAATAAAGAAACCATCTTGTCTAAATATTAAGATCTTACTTCTTTTATTAAATAAATAAATATGTCATTTTATATTAGTTAGTTATAAGTTTTCGCCTTTTCAATTTCTACTTTGTATATTATAAGCTTTTAACTTGCTTTTTTTTTTGTAACCATGATATTGATATGAAGTATTCATTGTTGAAAGCAATAACTAATCTATATTGAAGATCGTGAATGCACACAAGGTAGATATTTTCCTCCTAACATAGTTTATTCCATATTTGAGGCTAAGATTCAAACACTAAACAACTTATTTAAGGAACACAAGTACCACTTGTATCATCCAATGTTGGTAGCTTTTAACTAATTTATAAGCTAGTTTTACCAAATAACCCAATCAATGCGCTTATTTTTAGTAAAACAAAGTTAATCATATTTATATACATAGCTAATTATTTGTGATGGTTAATTTCGTAGTTACTTGAATGACAAAATCCTTCATATTTATATATGTCTGTGTAGATAAAATATTTCTTCATAAGTTAAAATTAACTTATGTATGAGTTAAAAATAAGATTTTGTAAAAGTTAATAGAAGAGTTTCTACAAAATAGCTCATATATAAGCTAATTTTAGCTTATAAAGAAGTTATTTCGTTTTTTCTTCCTATTTTATTTTCTTAGAAGTATTTTTAGAGAAATTTATCTAAATAAATCTTATGCACACATATAACATACATAAGGGAGGATTCACTTACTCTAAGTAAGCGTTTGGCATGCGAAATATTTTTACATTTCTAAGAATCTTGAAGCAAGAATCTTAGTTTCCTATTTTTGCTAGCTATTTTTTAAAAAAGAGATTCAAATAAATATAGTTTCCTAGAACCATTTTTATCCCATTTAAAAAAAAAACATTTTTATAAAGAGTAAAAATCTAACTTATCCGAATTAAGAATTTTTTTTTCTATATAATAACATACATAAGATGTATTTAAATATTAATCACATACAATAACTACTAATAACATATAATAACTTTGAGACAATATTAACCACACTTTGTAACATTAATGTTAAGCAATATTTTAATAACTTCAAAAGTTATGATACTTGATTTTCTTTTTAACATGTGAAATGTTGACGCGTTTTTGTTGATAATTAATTTTTATTTAAAAATTCTCATATCTTAATCATATATATATATATATATATATTTAAATTTAAGATATAATAAGTTATACATTCCTCATAATATATTGATTATCATTAATTATAATTATTAAAAATTATAAATTTAGAAGAGTAAATCATTAATAAGATGTACAATTCACTAAATTTTATATGTTTTCATAAATTATAACCATTTAAAAAAAATATGTTTGAAAGAATATGAGATAAAGTGTATCGCAGTATTTTTCGTTTTCGTAATAAAACAAAATAAACTTATTAATCAGAAAGAAAAAATAATAATAAATAAACGATGTTTGGGCCGCGGAATTTTCTACATCATTCATGGACAGCACCGAGGACAATATAGACTTGACTTGTAATGAGCGTGTGGGAACTCGGAAGTCTACGTTGTGGACTTCTGCTGATTTTTTATTTTTTCGGTTCATCGAGTATCTACTATCGATAACAGTAACTAATTTTTTCGTTACATTAGAAGTATCTCAAAAGGTAAAATAACTAGTCCCATAGGTGGATCATATCAGCACTAATACATCGGATCCCATCAGAACTTCTGCTGATCTGATATATATTTGGCTTTTCTGTTGCTTTATTACTAGTATTTTAGTGCCAATCTACATGTTTATACTTAAAATTTATAATAAATTATATATAAAATAAATATATTTTTTAAAGTTTTAAAATTTAATTTATAATAATTTCTTTTAAAGTTTTAAAATTTAATTTATAATAATTATAATAAATAAAAATTAAATTAAATAATAAATTAAAAATTTATAAAAAATTTCTTACTAAACAAAATTTCTTAAAAATATTTTGCATAAGATATATTTGTGTTTAATGGAAATGTATGGAGTTAAAATAACACTATTAACAGGTATTCATGACCCTAGCGACTTCAAGTGGTGCTGCAGCAGCT